CAAATTGTCTGATTGATCGATTACTGCTCTAAAAGATTCTGTAAAAGCTGTAAAAGCTATTTGGCTAGGCAGTGGTGGCACATGCCTTTAATCCCAGGTCTTGGGAGGCAGAGGTAAGGGATCTCTGTGAGTTCAAGGCCAGCCTGGCTCACAGAGCAAGCTCCAGGACAGCCAAGGCTACACAGAGAAACCCTGTCTTAAAAAACTAACAAACAAAAAAAGTAGCAGCTTTGGAAAATGGCATACACATTTCACCCTTAGCCCTCAGAAGATCCATGTATGCTGGTTCCTCTGAGGACCAGCAGCAGAAGATTTTGTTGAAACCAGGACAGAAATGCCTTGCCTCTTCTCCTTCACTGGGACAGCTCTGGGGGACCACAGAACTATGCTCTCACAAGCACACTGTACCTAAGTTCTTCATTCCCGCCAAGGCTCCTTTCTTTACCTGCCAGGTAAGTGTTTCTAGGGACCACTCCCAAGTAACCCACCTGCATGCTGAACCCCCGGCCTTACCCCATGTACTAATTCTATTGGTGTACTGCTAATTTTTGCTTACCTGGCCACTACAACTATCTATGGATTTATTTAACAGATGGCGCTCATCTTTCAAAGACATTAAGAGCCCTTTTAAATTTAAGCAAATTCCTTCTTGTACCTGGAAGCACTGATGTCATTTCATTCAGCCTCCTTCTCCTTGCCCTGTTCACAGTGTAAGATTATCAGACCTGGCTAACTGTAGATGACACAGCCTAAGACATCTGGCCTGTACTCCCTCCTGTTCACACGGTCCATTACCTATACAGCAATGACTTCAAAAGACTCTTGTAACAGCTCCTGTTAATATGAAACAACTCAAAGCTTTGACTTTACCAAAGCCACGGGTTTCCTGTGTCTTCAAGCCTCAGTCTCGCTTCATGAACCGCAGAACCCCACCATTAATAAAAGACAAGACTTTCTCAGCCTTAATTCAAGTCCAATATTTCAATTGAAGTTTTACCACAGAAAACGTCTCTGGTAAGTACCTTTGGGGCTGCCCAGAGAAATGCTTTTCAGCACCAAAATAAAGTCTAAACCCTTGCCGTGCCAGATCCCTGGCACTCTGTCTTCAAATCGCCACTATGCCCCGGGGGAACCTACGGATTTGACGTCACTGAAATATCTTGTCCTTTCTAGTCCCGCCTTTTTCTCTCATTTGTCCACTCTTTAGCCAAGCCCTATCTTTATGGTACCCGTGAAACAGTTTTCAGGGCCTAAAGAAAACAAACGCCATGACTTCTGAGAGAAAAATCATAACCGCTCCCCAGCCTAGAAGGACTTAGAGTGTCCCATCCCTTTGTTTCACACTTGTCCTAAGTTCCCTCACCTCCACCACTTTCCTCTCTATAGCAGGAGCATCTCTCCTACATGCTTGTGTGCTTCTGCAGCACAAGAGCTTAGATGGAGTGGTTTACCAAGAGTAGATGCCCACACTTCTTAAGGATGGAAACCTCAAGGTCAAGGTGTTCGCATCTGGTAAGGACCTTCTTGAAGCGTCATCACGTGATCGAAGACAAGGCTGAAAGAACAAGCAGAGGGTGGAGGCCTTGGCCCTTCACAGTCCAAAGACTTCTCACAAGTTCTACCTCCAAACATTGCCAAGATGGCCATCAGGTCTCAGCCTGGACGCGGGCTGGTAAATCATTCAGAACAAGCAGTATCAGTGTTCCGCTAGAGCGACTTGCACACAGTACTGCCTTCTTACAACACCTTCTCTCCCCTCAAAACCCCAGACGTCCGCCCGAAGACTCCAGGTCCTTGCTATATCTTTCCAATCTAAGATCACCCCCAAGGAAACATCTTCTTTCTCTGCCAAATAGGTAATAATTCTTTTATGATATGCCTTTTCTCAGCACAGTTCTTATCACTGTATTTGAGTGCTAGATATTGATTTCTTGTTTTAATTGAATTATTGCTTTTCCCTATCAATCCAGTCATACTTTATGCTAAGATCTAAAGCTATATCATCATGAAGGTCAGTATGGAGTTTCCTCAAAAGAAAAAAAAACAACTAAAAATAAACCAACCACACAGATGCTTGTTCGTCCATGTTCATTACTGCATTATTCACAGTAGCTAAGAAAAAAGACTAGTTTAGATGTCAACCAAGAGATGAATGGATAAACAAAATGTGATACATACCACACAATACAATTGTATTCAACTGTAATGAAAAAATTAAATATGACGTTTTTAAGAAAAGAGATGTAATTGATATAAAAAAACACTATGTAGGGAAATAGCTGTCTGGAAACTCAATACCTTGTTTCTAGCCATAAAATGTATTAAAAAGGAAAACAAAAGCATGAAGCATGGTGGTTAATGTTGATTGTCTACTAAATAGAATACTAGAATACATTGTCACCTAGGAGACAAACTTCAGCAAACCTGTGTGAGGGAGTTTCCAGATTAGGTTAACCAAAGTGGGCTGACCCACCTTAAAGGTGGATAACATTACTCTGTGGGGTGGTGTCCAGGACTAAATAAGAAGGAAAAAAGGAGAAATCTGAGAAGCAGCATTTCTCTCCCTTACCTCTTTCTCTCTCTGTGTCTCTCTTCTTTGCTTCTCCTCCTCCTCCTTCTTCCTAACTACAGAAGTAATGTTACCAGCTGCCTGATACTCCTTCCATGACTTCACCACGAATACGGACTGTATCCTGAAACTTGGAACCTTCCTCCTGAGCTTTGGGCAAGTACTTTTTGTCATTAACAGTGAGCATAGTTGCTATAGAGAAAGATCTCCACTCTACAGATGCTTGGGAAGATGGGTTCAGTATAGGAATGCAGGACTTACACAAACCATTGGGAAGGTAGAAGAGAGAAGCCTGGGAGAAAACAGCTATCAGAATTTAAAAATATAAACAGCAGGAGTCATATCCCATCACTGATCATTTGGAAAAGATTACCTACCCACTGCTTACCAAACTTCTTCCCTTAGCCCCCCAAACCCTGTGAGGTTTGCTTCTATCATGTAAGGGCATACGAGTTTTCTGATTTTCATCTTTTCACTATCCTGTAAGCACTTCTCTTTAATAGGATCTAATACACTTGTAAAAATGCTGACCTTCACCAGGTGGTGATGGCACACACCTTTAATCCCAGCACTCAGGAGGCAGCGGCAGAAGGACCTCTATGAGTTCAAGGCCAGGTCTGTGAGTTTGAGGCCAGCTTGGTCTACAAGTACTAGTTCCAGATCTGGTTCCAAAGCAACACAGAGAAACCCTGTCTTGGAAAAAAAAAAGAATTCTGGGCTTCTAAATCAGGTTTAATAAATGCTTTCTATAAACAGCCAGCTATTTTAAGTTTTGCTATGCAAAGCTGCCACAGAGGCTAACATTTGAATCTCAGATAATGTTTACATGTTACATATTCTTAGTTTTTTTCTTTTTTTCTAGAAGCCACTTAAAAATGTGAAATCCACCCTCGGCTGGGGAGCAATATGGAACAGGTGGCAGTCTGCTCGTGGCTCACAAGCAGTTGTTTGCCAACCCTTGTCCTCAGTGCTGCGAAACAAGGAGAGTGAAAGAGACACCGGCGTGCCAAGCAACTATTGGCTCTCTATGTAACAAAACCACAGACATTTCTGCATCTTAGCAATGTGAGTTCGGGGAGAGGCAATGAGGAGCAGGTGCAGAAGCAAGAGGGAGCTGAGCCGTTCTGCCAGAAATGTGATTTCTTCAGTCGCCTGGGCACGGTCTTCCAGAGGCTGCTTGTGTTTAACACTGGAGCACGCATCTAAGTTTGTAATGCCTAGGGTCAGATAATGCTCAGTTTCATTGATTGTTTCATATCCATCATCCCTTGGATGTTCCAGGCTATCATCAGCAGCCCTTGTTCTACAAATGCCAAGTAGCTAACTAGAGCTCCTTTACCGGTGGGAGCAAGCAGTTGGCAGAAGGTAAATTAGACCTCCAGAGGACCTATAGTGTGATGTCTCCATGGTTGGCAACAGAGTTTATATCCTTTGGTTAAAACACTTCAAGTACTCTACTGTCTCCTAGAACACAGATATAAGTGGTGCAGGAGATCAGCTGCAGAGAAACTTGGGTCTTCTGCAGAAACCTCTCTTGTTACAGATATTTCTTAGTATGGTAGCTTTAAAATTACACGGTAGATGGACCATCGTGCTGGTTAGGTTTTTTTTGTTAACTTGACCAAAACTGGAGTCTTCTGGGAAGATGGAATCCATTAGACTGACCTTTTAGACAAGTAAGCAGAAGATATTCTTGATTAAAGGCTGATGTACAAGTCTAACCCACAGTGGGTGGACCCACCCTTTAGCCAGGTGCCCTTGGGTTATAGAGAAGAAAGCAGACTGAAGGAGCCAGGGGAACAAGTCAATAAGTGGTGCTCCTCCATAATCTCTGCCTCAGTTTCTGCCTCCAGTTTCCTATCCTGCTGGATTCCCTGATTTGGCTTCTTTTCATGACAACATGTAAGCGATAAGATGAAATAAACTCTTTTCTTCCAAAGTTGCTTTTGGTCTTAGTGTTTATCACAACAGTGAAAAGCCACGTAGGACAACACCTAGACAGATTTGTTTCTTCTCAATCGCAGCGAGATAAACCAAGTGCTGGACTCTTCTGCTGTTGCCTTCCCAAAGACAAGCAACCTTTTATTACTTAGAAGCTATAGGCTGACCCTTTATGATCCATATCACAGTCTCTCCCATGGATTTTTCTCAGTCTTGCGATCACAATCTGGGGCGTCTCCCAATTAGCTTCTTTCTGATGCCGTTATAGAGTGGGGATATTCCAACACGAATATTGTGCTGGGCAATAAGATGCTCAGATTGCCAGGGAGGAGGACCTGTCTGCATTATGAGTGTGTAAATTGATACTTTGTTCCCTAATAAAACAGATAATCCTTTGAAGGAAAAAGAATGCCTACTGCAACAATGGGCTTAGTGACATAGTTCTCATTCTGGTATAGACTTCCTGAGTCTCCAGGGACAAATGTGAAGATTAGAGCAGACACTGGTTCCCAGGCAACACTTTGAGGACCATTGTTCTAGTCTAGACCCTGACATGACAGAGATCAGACATCACTTGGATAAAAGACAGCAAGGCTGTACTGCTGAAACTCTGGGTTAAAGGTGAGGCCTTGTAGGTTATAGTTACTGATGAAAACTAAAAGGAAAGCATTTGCTAGGTCAGTGGGTCACATGCCAGAGGCTGACACGTTTTAAAAAAGAGACCAGCCATTGCTTGTCTGATATTCCTGGAGTCTTCTTGCCCCTGGCAAAAGTGTTGTGCGTTCATCAAACAGATGAGTGACCCAATGCCCTAATGGAACTTGATGGGTGTGCTTAAGAGCTACTTAGGGCTATTCACAGTGGCTCCAGCAAGGTTAGCAAGCAGAGCAGCAAGTTTAAGAAAAACACCTAGAAACAGCAAAAAAAGAAGAAAAAAAAAACTGGAACTCTGTGTCATCCCTGAACCTGAGGCATCAAAGGATAATGCAGTGTTATTGGAATATGGGAAGCTAGAAATATAGAAAATTACCCACCATTAGGTCAGTGATAGAGAAATTATGGTTGTCATAAAAACTTTAGATTGTAGAAGAACCTTCTCCTCCAGCAAGTCGATCTCCTAATGGTAAGTCGCTTGGCTTAATCTGACTGTGATTCAGAGAGGAAGGTAATTCTAGTGTTGCTGTAATCTGAGTCCATCTTCTAAGGACACACACAGCAGTTTGAAAATGGCAGAAATCAGAGCCTAAAACACAGACAGAACATGGTATGCATTTTTGGAAGGCAAAAACGTATTCATTCATCCAAAACTGACAGAATAACTGTAGCCAGTGTCCTACAGAAATTTAAAAGATGTAAATATCCTATGTAAATAGATCTCAGGCACATCAGAGAAAACCAGTAAGAAGCAACACACTTATAGAATAACATCTATACTACATTTAATGATCAGTAAAATGTATTTTATGAGGACACAAATACCCAAGAAAAAGGTATCTTAGTAATAATCACTGGGTATACCGTTCTGTGTGTATCATTGTTATGAACGAAATGTGTCTGAAAATATGTTCAGGTCACTTTCATATATGAATAATTTGAGAGAGTGTATGTGATTTTTATCCACACCATGTGTCACACAGTGACAGTATATTCTAAGTCCCAATTGGCAGACTTTGACCTTATTTGAAAATAGGGTCATCCTTATTAAATGAGGTTAAAATGAGGTCATACTATAAAGTGATTATAGTATGTTGATTCATTATGACATGCATCATAAGAAGCAGAAGTTGAGGAAGCCCTGATGGATGTACAGGCCAGGAATGAAGTGGCCCTGCTCTAAGCAGGGGGCAGCCAGAAGCCAGGAACAGGCAAGAAAGGATTCTCTCTTAAAGTTTTCTGAGGGAGCAGGGGCCTCCAAACACCTGCTTCCGACTTTCAGCCTGCAGAACGGAGACATGTGTTTCTGATTTTTGAGATCCTACCTCTCTTTAACACTTTGTGAGGGCAGTTCTAGGGATCTATCAAAATCTAAAAGCTCTAACAAGGTGAATGACACGTTCCAAAGTGGTCAGACCCCAATAGGTTCTGTGGGGGAGAGCTTGTTATTTAATCTTGGGTATCTTTTCTTACCCCAGCTGTAGTGGTTCAGGCCTCAGCTATGCAGATGTGGTGTACAGATGATGTTTTTACTCTTTGGGGTCCCACCCTCCAGCTCCTGAATAAATACATGTAGACTTATTCTTACTTATGAATGTCTGGTCTTAGCTTGGCTTGTTTTTAGCCAGCTTTTCTAACTCAAATTATTCTGTTTCTCTTCTACGGTTTGTCTCTGGTCTTTGCTGTAGGAAATCCTACTCCCAGTATCCTTTAAGCTACCTGCCCACTTGGGCATGGCCCCTTATACTATTTAAGCCCATGTAAAATGCATTCGCACTCTTTTCCAGCTGCGGGATTCCGTTGCTGTTCCCCATTCCAGCAGAGGATTGTAATCTGTGAGTCTACCCCTAAATAAATAACCCTAGTGTGGGATTTCTTTTAAGCATCCTTCTTCAGGTCTTCAGGTCTTTTTAACTTTCTTTATTCGACATACCTTTCTTTTCTTCTTACTCCAAGTTGGCTGGATGACTGACTGCCGGCGTCCTCCTCTCCTTTTAATCTCACCCCTCGCTCTTTTTTTCTGTTATTTGTTCTCTATTCCTGCCAACCCCTCCTATTTCTCTCTCCTGCCTAGTTATCGTATTTTCAGCTTTCTATTAGACCAATCAGGTATTTCAGACAGCCAAAGTAACTCAGCTTTAGAGAGCTAAACAGATGCAACATAAAAGAATGCAATACATATTTGCATCATTAACTATTCCACAGCATAAATGAATGTAGCACATTTTAAACTAATATTCCACAACATTGGTGGAATTTGATCCCAGACGCGGATTACCTGAAGCTGAAGCTGTGTATCAAGCCTCGGTACTTCGGCTTGAAAACAGTCAGCTGGTGTTCGCTTCGGCAGCACATATACTAGAATTGGAACATTCCAGAGAAGATTAGCATGGCCCCTGCACAGATAACATGCAAATTTGTGAAGCATTCATTCTATATTTTTTTGACAGTTGTTTGACTGGGGCAGACTGCGGGGCCACTAGCAGTGGGACCAGGATTTCTCCCTACTGCGTGCACTGGCTTTTGGAGCCCATTCTCTTTGGAAGGATACCTTGCTCAGCCCAGGAGGGAGGGCCTTCGTCCTTTCTCAAAGCAATGTGCTAGACTTAGTTGACTCCCTATGGGAAGCTTTGCCCTCTCTGAGGAGAGGATTGGGGGCTGGGGGGGTGGCGAGGGAAGGGGAGGAGGAGAGGGAGTGGGAGCTGGAATTGGTATATAAAATGAGAAAAGACAGTTTTCTAAAAATTAAATAAAATTTGGGAGGGAGGAGGGTGAGTGAGGGAGTGGGAGAGAAATGGGAGGAGGGGAGGAAGTGTAAATTTTTGAATGGAAAAAATAAAAAAATAAAAATAAATAAATACAAAAGAAAGAAAATAACCAGCTGCTATGGCTACTTGAAAAAAAAAGTGTCTTGATTTCTTTTGTATGCGAGTTCTCATCCTAGTTTTTATAGTAGGCTCTGTGTTTCTAAAATACGTTTATATGCTGTATCATTTATGAGTTTGGACTGGATGGAGGAATATTTTGTTTATATTCAATCAGTGATATTGAACTGGATGTATGCCATAGTCTCTTTAAACCCAGATTTATTTTTTGTTTCTCATGGTCCTGAGTCAAATTACTTACTAAGGAGCTCATTGAATTCATGAATACTATAAACAGAGTGCCAAAGTACTTAGGGGAATGAGCTACCCAGTGTGCTTCAAGTAGGATCCTGGGAAAGTCCCAGGAGCAGATGCTTTTGGGTTTCATTTATTTATACACTTCCTTTTAGTAGAGACACTATTTGATATAGAGGGGAAAATACAGGGAGAGAAAAATGCTTGGATAATAGACCTAACTTAAATTGTGTCTGGAAACATTTGTTGAAATCTACCACGTTCAATTAAGAGAAATGCATGGAACATGATGATGTGGTAGTTCCTTCTGTATATGTGTTGCTTTTATTGGTTAGTGAATAAAGAATCTGCTTGGGGCTATGACAGGGCAGAATAGAGTTAGGCAGGAAAACTAGATAAATGCTGGGAGAAACAATGCAGAGTGAGATGCCACCAGAGGAGAAAGAAGTGAGCTGTCAGCCTGAACCTTGTCAGTAGGCCACAAACCTCGTGGTAAAATATAAAATAATGGAATGGGTTAATTTAAGATGTACGAACTAGCCAATAAGAAGATGGAGCTAATAGGCCAAGCAGTGATTTAATTAATCCAGTTTCTGTGTTGTTATTTCAAATCTGGGTGGCAGGAAATGAACGCGCGGCCTCTGCCAACAGAACATGATTATGCAGAATGAGGTAACAGAGAATAGAGCCCAATGATGTATCAAACATTTTAACTCTGCTTGTAAAGGCCTGTAGACTCTTGATGAACTCAGTATGCTCCAGTCTTACTAGACATTTTCTACCCATGTATCCATCAAGCATCCTCCCATTTTTAGTTTATGGGTTGAAAGGATTCTCATTCTTGTTCTCTTCAACAGCCAGTCCATTTCCAAGACTGTCATATCACCAAAGTCATTTTGCAAAACATATTCACTGTCTAACATTTATTGTGTATATTTAGTATATATGGTTTGCTGATCTTTCTGCCTTCCCTGTCTGGTTTCATTCCCTTGGACATATCTTGGCCAAGCATAAGATTTTGATATACAATCTGCTCTTTAATTTCTTGCCTCTCGTCACTACTCTGAGCACCATAAGAAAGAATATGCTGTAGAAGTTCTCTTTTCCCACTCGGAAAAGAGACTATGGCCGCAGAGGTAGATGATTAATATAGTTTCCTTTCTACTAAATAGAGTTGACTGAATTATTTCTCTCAGTGGAGAGCTTAAAGATTTTTGTAATTGCTGACTGGATATAGTTAGATCATCTAGTAGGTTGTATTGGGAGCATGTTAGAAATATGTACCTGAACATATATGCACATATTCATATGGCATTCTGAATTTCTTAGTCTTCTAGATCTAAGTGTTTCCCTCATTTGGCTGCTCTGCTGATTCCTGGCCCTGTTTGACTATAATTAAAGCGTGGAGTGAGAACAAGGCAGACTTCTTTGATATCACAGCCAATAACACAATCAGACCACTCTGCTTTTCATCACTGTACTTTAGCATTATTAATCTTAGAATCTTATTTCTCAGAGGTCACAATAATGGTTTATTGAGCTGGAAGTTGAGTCTGCCATCTGGTCTTCTAGCCTTCTTAGGGCAAGGGAACGTCGAGCTATGTTGGCTTTTATATTTGATAGATGATTAATCCTAATTATCAAGTATAAATAGGACTTCTGGAGCCAGAAATAACTATGTTTAGAACACAAAGGTTTTCTAAGGAAAAAAGTATGGCAATTTAGAACCTGTGAATATAGTCATATTAGAAAAGGAGGTCTTTCTCTCTCTCTTTTGATTAAATTAAGAGGTCTTGAAGTCAGATCATTTTGGAATACAGAGATGGTCCCTAAGTTAATGGGAAGTATCCTTACAAGAAAGGGAAAAAACACAGAAAATACCATGTGAAACAGGATGCAGAGATTAAAGTGACACATTTGAAGTCAAAGAATGAGAAGCATAAGAACCCACCATCAAAAGCTTGGAGGGCAACCACGGGAGACCCCTCCTGAACAGCTGCAGAACAAAGTCAGCCCATTGTTACCTTGGCTTTGGACTTCCGGCCGCTGGAGCTGTGATAGCATGAATTTCTTTCACATGGAAACAGCTTGTCTTTGGTTGTTACAGCAGTCTCGGGAAGTGTGAGCACTCTGTCAGTGTTTCTTCCTGCCGCTTGTCTAGTAGTGGCAATTCAATGAGCATTCAAACCACACACCCAAGTATTATCTAGGTTTCAGATCCGTTAAAGCACCTGTATTACCTACCCTACCCTGCAATACTGGCTGATGGGCAACAGAGCATGGAATGTGTATCTTGTGTTCAATGAAGAGGAAGCCAACAAGACCGTTTACAGAAATAAGGATTATAGAAGCTATGAGTGTTTTATTTCCGATTTGTAATGTACAGTTTATGGGGTTTTTTTTAGTGTGTGTGTGTATGTGTGTGTGTGTGTGTGTGTGTGTGTGCGTACATGTACATGTGTGTGTGTGTACGCATGCGCGCATTTGTGGTGCGTACATGGTTTCTATGGGTCTCTGTCTATGATAGTAGAATGTCATGGTAGAGTTCATTCATGGCTGTTAGGTGCATGTGGTGGCTGCTCATTTACACTGCAGCTGCTGGTAAGCACTGAGCAAACTGGGATGAGAAGTGGGTATAGGCTTCTGAAGTCCACCAAGGGATCCGCTTCCACCAGCCAGGTCCTACCTCCTGAAGATTCCACAGCCTTCAAAACAGCAACATGAACTATAGGTGGAGCATTCAAAATATCAATGAGCCCCAGGAGGACATTTCCTGTTCAGAACACAGCACGCAGGTCTTCTGTATCTTTCTCAGGATTTGGTGTATAATGTGGCCGCTAGTTTTACGTAGCTATATTAATTTGTATTTTCCTAAATGAGTAAAAATATTGAACTTTTTCTGTGGTTTTCTTCTGTTTCTTCTTTAGTAAAGTTTCTTCTAGTGTCATGGGTTTATATTCTACTTGCATATTTTTCTTGTCTGCATTTGGAGAGTTCTTCATAAACATCAAATAGTCATGTTTTTGTCAGATGCATAATTAGTGGGTATTTTCTTCTTTCCTAAAACCAAAGCTCTTTGTTTCAGTGAGCTCCAGTTTTTCATTTACTTTTTAGGGATTAATATTGGAGGGCCAACTAAGAGCCCTGCGTAGTTCTAAGCCAAAAAACTGTTTTGAGTTTATTTTTCTAAAATGTTTCTCACACTCTCCTGACTGCTATATTTATATAGTAATCCTTAGCACTGAATGCGTTCCTCCAACTGGTCAAGGCTACTTTAGCTCTCCTAATCCTCTGGGTTTCTATACACATTTTATGATCAGTTTGACCATGCCAACAAGCTTCTTCTTGTGATTTTTATAGGAATTGCATTAAATTACATTAGCTCAATTTGGAAGGAACTTAGAGTTTGACTATGCAAATTCTTCCAACTCATGAACATACATCTTTCCACTTATTTACATGCACATCAGGATTTTATAATTGTAGCATATGTGTCCTAAATATGTCTCTATATGTGCATGGATTTAATTTTCTTTAAAGTAATTGAAAAACATAACAGCACTTTTCATATTTGTGATGCTGCTAGTAGAAATACAATTAATACTCTGTGGTGATCTCATATACTCTTTGAACTTATTTGACTACTTTTTTACTTTTTTAGAATTCAACCCATTAATTAATTAATTAATTAATTTGGTGTATACTTTGGGATTTTTTTACACAACCACGTCACCTATAAATAGTAATGTTTCACTTTATTTTTCTCATCTATATATCTCTCCTCCCTTCCTTATTTTCCTCCCTCCCTCCCTCTTTTTCTTTTTTCTTTCTTTCTTTCTTTTTTTCTTTCTTTTTCTCTATCTCTCTCTACACACACACATGCACATACATATATAATATATAGATCGTAGTTATACATAAAGAATATACACACAAACAGTATATACATATATATACATGCATATATTGTCTGTGTACACATACACAGACAAAGGGAGGGGGGAGCACATGTCTATGTGTTTTCCACAGCAATTATGAGGATACCAGAGGATGACTTTTGGGAGTTGGTTTTCTCCTACCACTGTGTGGGATTTGGGGATCAAATTTAAACTCAGGTCACCAGGATTAGCAACACATGTCTTTATGTATAGAGCCATTTGTCAGGTATCCATCTTATATTTTCAAAAAAATTTTTACACTGAACCCAGAGCTCACCAATTTGACTAGTTTGGTTGATCAGTAAGACCCAAGGAAAGTACTGTCCCTATCTCCCCAGTATGCCTGCCTTTTTATGTGTCTCCTAGAGATCCAATCTCAGATCCTC